ATTAATATCAATTAAAAGGAATTGTCGCAGAGAAAACACGGAAAAAATTAATATGCAAAAAATTCTTTTGCTTCTGATCCTTTTGATGATCCTCATGTTAGGACGTAGTTCATCTACAACATGTGGGCTGGTGAAGCTAGTCATCATGTTCACTGCATAATTTTATGCAACATCTAGTCTTAGTTTTTTCTTTTAAGACATGTAGCTTTTTGAACAACTTGGCAAGTCTTTTTATAGAAAAGAGGAGTTAGAGGGAGGAATGTCAAGTTGTCAACTGAAATAACAAGTGTTTTCTATGAATGACTTTGTTTGGAGGTGTTAGCCTGTTAGGTGAGGCTGTGGTCACATATTTGACAATGTTACAATATGGTGATTTCTAGAAAATTAAGGAAAATGGCTTTGATCAACAAATAGTAAACGGAAAGAAGAAAAGGTCAATTCTTCATTACAAACACAAATAGGGAGATCGAAAAGATTCATGATCAAGGGTGAAAACATGTAAAGTAAAATTGAATGAAATTCAATGCTTTATTATAAAGTGAGCGGAAAGTCTAATAAAAGAGAGGGAAAATTAATTCTAGTCTCCTAGCTTTTGAAAACCGCGATTCTACTCTTAAAAAGTTTAATTTCTCTTGTTTCTTAACAACATCCCCATGCCCCGCCACCGCGACCCCCCTCCACCCCCCAACACATGGTTTTGCGAACCTATGAAATGATGAACTCTTGCTCCTTTAGGGCCCGTTTGTTTCCTTTTTAAGAGACGTTTTGGCTTGAAAGCTGCCTCAGTTCTAACAAAACATTTTTCAGAACTGTGGCAGGGTTTCCTCTTGGAAAAAAAAGGAAACAAACAGGCCCTTAATCTCCACCTTCCACTGCCTCCATGTCATCTTAGCCTTTTCATACTTCTCCGTCTCTGCTACACCCTATCTACGAAACTCTCCACCACCTCCCTTTGCCTCCCCACACTATCTACTGAAGGGAGGCGGAGGCAAAGAGAGATATTGGGTGATGGTGGGAGAGATGTTGATGGTGAGACAACAAGCAGCGGAAAATTATGCTAAAGATAACAAATCATAACTAAAGTTGAGAAGCTCAAGACACCTTAACTATCAAAGTAACAATTAATAGTTAAAAGTAACTCAAATATAACAAATAGTAGCTAAAGGTAATAAAAACATGCTAAAAGTATCAAGCTACACGCAAAGATAATAGTTTATAACTAAGGTGAAAAGAGTTCAAAACAAGTTGGATACAAAAGTAATAATTAATAGCTAAGTTGTCGAAATTGACATAAACATAGCAAATTATACCTAAATGTTAAAAATTTCAAATTATACCTAAATGTTAAAAATTAATGTTAAAAGCAACATGTTAAGCATCAAGGTAGCAATTAATTACCAAAGGTGATAAAATCCGCATATCAACCTCTTCTTCATCACTGCTTACCTTCACGCGTGCCTCCCTTTGAGTCCCACCATCGTCCCACTCTACTGAGTAGTTCGGAGGGAGGGGCAGGCAGCAGGGAGGGAAAATTCTACGTTTTGTCAAAGGAGGGTGGAGCCTTAATTATTGATCCAACACGACCTAGATCTCGCATTAGTAAGAGTTGAGAAGATTCCAGAAATGATGAAAGACAAAGATTGGGTTGAAGATAGATGACCAAGAGTTATATAATAAACTCAAAATCATTGTAGATGACCAAGAGTTACATAATAGGATTCAACCATAGAGTTATATAATAAACTCAAATCATTGTAGATGACCAAGAGTCCATCTACCAAGTTGTACTAGAAACAACACTTACATGGATTGTGCATGAAGCTACACTTGTTCTTGAGCATATGAATCACTTCAACAGGATTGTGACTGGGTTAGAAACAGAATGCATGAGACTTGAAAATGGCGATAAGATGATGATACTTTTGTATTCTCTTCTCGGTAGCTATGAAAATTTCATTACATTAATT